GTTCTTGGGAAGGGGGTAAGAATGCACTTACATAATTGAAGGGTATCAATGCATGAACAAGGGTCCTAACTAGAGTTTAAAAGCCTACTTTGTACCTGTAATTCTGATTTTTGAACACTTTGTAATTGAAGTAACATTTTCTGGACCAAGTTCTGTCCTGATAGCCATTTAAGTAACAACAGAGATATCCCACCAAGAGCAAAACGTGATGCTTTACAAAAAAAAAATATAAAAAAAAAAATTGTTCTTTTGCTGTCTCAATTTTATGTTGGGTTTTTTTTTTTTTTTTTTTAGTATGAACTTAAATTGGTGCTACACTTCACTTTGGTGCTACACTATTCTATTTCCAGGAAGTTAGCACTAACTCAACAGAAATACATTGTGGTAAAATCACAAATAGCAATTTTGTTAATGACAACATTTGTGTGTCAAAAAAATATACAAAGAATGCATTTCCAGAGGACTTCTGCAGACACCTTCCAATAATAACTTACAAGTAACTGACAAGTAACCACAGTGCAAAACTCGATGAAAGTCAATAATACATTATATGAAGGACATGCAAGACTACAGATTCACACAGCCATTTTACAGTTCTAGCTTCAAAACACCTGCTGGAAATCTTAAATTATTTGTAAGCTTTAGAAATTGCCTCACAACTGCAGCTAAATACTGACTGATGACTGTTATGCCATGAACAAGACATAAATTTGGATGGTGTCCATTTGCAACCTTGAAAGAACAGACTAATGATGATAAAGCCATTCATTTAAAAAATAAAATAATTGTAAGCTAAATAAACAGTAAGATCACAGTACATTAATTTAAATTAGTACATGCTGTTGCAGTAATGTTTATGTTCTAGTCATTTGACTTTCGCTATTAATAAAACTTTTTATGAGCTTGTCCTAAACGCTGTTAGAAAATATTCACTTTAACATGTCAGTGCATTCATTTTCCCAGGGTTTTTTTTTAAGCAGTTTTCACCTAATTAATGTCAAAAATAAGAGAAGAAAACATCACATACATAATGCATTCAAGGGTACAGGTCACCGCCAGCCAGACACATCAACATGAGTTGTTACAAAACCTGATCGCAGAATGAATAAAGTCATGTCTGCATTTTGCAGAAATAAGAGAAGAAAGAATAAAGAATTCAAACAGTTTAAGCAGCAGGGAATGACAGTCTCAACATCCTATCTATGGTTGCCACCTCCAGGCTGTCACTTCAGTTTCTCTTCTGGTTTGAAGCCAGATCATGTGTCAGATGAAACAATTTAGTGACACTAACCACAGTTTTTTGTTGACAGTCAGCCCTGTTACAAATCCACATCATGGCATTGGCATCCCAGCAATCATTCTATGCGGATATTGAGAAACACAACATCTCAGATTTATTAATCCAGTAATTTTAGCAGAAGTCCCCACAGAGGACTCACTGACATAGCAAAACGAAGTGAGGACTACACTGCGGCACGCTTCAGCTATAGAGTATTATAGACTATTTTGGTTTTCATAAAAAAAAACTTAACTGGCATTTGAGGTGCTCCTCGATAATCTGATGGCCTCACTGCCTGAAAAACACACCCACAGAGCCAGCAACCTCCGAATCCAGTGACCTGCATAATGGGAATCAGCCCACATTTGAAGGGGGCTAAGACTTGTGTGCATTAAGACCTCTTCTAAACTCCCAGCCTGTTTGTCCTACGTTTGTTCATTAGAGACAAACACTGAATGCTAGTATCTCATTACTCCACATCTGTATCTTACTAGTAGTTGCAAAAGCAGTTTTCTTTCCTTGGTCATTTCTCTCCTTGGTGATTAAAACTGTGCAGGTACACTGAATGCTTTTTAGGTAACAATCAGAAATTAATGGCATAGTGCTGTCTCAGGTAAGAGTTACATACTCATTCTGAGAATCTTTCCTGGGCTGACAAAGACTGTGGATACAGTTTTCCAGTTGGGTTATGTTACTTTAAGTACCTCTTCTTGCTTTTTGGTAGAACAGCACATAATGAATGGAAAAACATGCAGGTTTCTTGAGCAGTTCTCAACTATCAAAATTTATAGAAGTAGATTCCCTTCGTATTTTGGAAAAAAAAAAAAACAAGAAAAAAACCACCAAAAAAAACCCAAAAAGGATACCACTGCTTAGAGAAAAGACTGTAAGTGGAAATGACAAGAGCTGTTCTGTTGAATTGTAAACTACGAAACCTGATAAAACAGCAAGCAGTCTAATGGATACTTATGACTCCTGAGCTGTACTGAGACATCTCATCAGAAAGTCTCATAAAAGTGTCAGCACACTGTAGAAACAGTGTCATGGAAAACTATTTGTATTAGGTAAGACCTGTTCTTTTTTTTTTTTTGCATCATCAGTGAAGCACAAACAACTACAGGAGGAATTCAGTTCATTTGAAGTAACTACCTCCAGCTGCAAATATCTATCTCCAAAAGCAGAAATGCAAGGGACAAGAGATAATCACTGAAAACAATTAAAAGCAAGAGAAGATGATGATCCATATGAAGAGAAATGGGAAATCTTGTGAGTGCATAGGCCTGAAGAAAGGCATAAAAAAATTGCTCCACAGGAAAAATAATCTAAGTATAGTTAATAGCCCATTAGCAAGCCATTTTAAATAAAAAGGAAAAATCTTTTTCCCAGATGCATAATCTGTCAAAGTCCCTGCCACAGATATCACAAACATAAAGAACTTCACAGGATTCTACAAGAGTATTAAATACAGACACTGCAAGCAGTCACCATGTAAGCAAAGGTAAATACTGGCAAGACATGCACACCTTCATTCCTCAGAGCTTAAATCAACACCCAGGTCACAGCAAATCTCACACCTGGAGCACTTGCACTGTGCAACACAGAGCAATGAGTGCAGAGGTCTCCTAGTAAGCACTGACCTGAACTGGCTTGCCTGAAGGCCAGGGCACATCAGCACAGAAGAAACCAGGCCAGAACAGTTCTGATCTATGTGTACAGAGGAGGGCTTACACCCTGAAGGACCATGCAGCAACACTACTCCCAGTCCCAGATCTAGTTCATATAACTGAACTTGTCTGATTGCAGCCACAGTCTATGCATTCCTGGTAAAGATGTACAGACTGAGACTGAGGCCCTCCACAACTATTCATTAATTCAGCTTGGTACGTTTCCCTGAAGTTGTCATTGACCACTGCCAAAGACAAGATCATTTGAGCACCTATTTGTCACCTGATGTTACAAGGCAAGTAAAATCCCAAGGGCATGTGCAATAGGTATTTTTGTGAACGCACAGACCTAAGCAAAGAACCATCATCTGTCTTCTAGGAAACTCTCTGCAGAAAAGTTTGCAGTTTCCTGTGCATGAGTCTCTGGGCTCAGCTCCTTCCTATACAAACACACATACATACACACACATTTAGTATAGACCCACTGTTTTCATTCCACTAAAAGGCTGCCAAGAAACTTCAGTCTGAAGCTACATATGGACACAGTCAGAAACTGCAAACATTACCTCCTGAAACCAAACTAGGCAACTGTAATTAGCCCCGAAACTTAAAGTCTGAGACATGCTCATAAAAAGATATGAGGAAAAGGTTAGTAAATACTGAACAGCAAGAAATGTTAGAAAAGGAGATTGTTGGGAAGGAGTGTAAAACTTAGTTTTGAACACACTGATCTGATACAGCCAGGCTGCAGGTAGGCATGTTCTCAGCAGCTTTGAAAGCCTCATAGCATCCTTAAGGTTGCTCAGCCACAACACAGCAGGGGCGTCCAGCTAGGCCACCCTGACTCATCTGGGGTCTCTCTACCCCTGTATTCAAAAGAATATTCTTGGTTGTTCATCTGCATCCAAAACCAGGTTAATTTCTGATTAAAACTCCTGAACTGCAGGATGTCTCTCAAGCACAAGCTCTTCTGCCAGTAAAACAAGCACCTTGCAAGACAAGTGCAACAAAGACAGAAGCACAATGCTCTGCTTAGTAGACAAAATAATGACATAACAGCAAGAGCTGAGAGGAGGCAAGACATCTAGAGACTACAAAGAAACAGTAATAAATATGCCTTGAAAGCAAAACACACAACCACCTAACCTGATACCAGTGCACAACTTAGATCACCTTTTCAAAGTGGCTCATGTATCTCTCTTTCTAAAGCTATTTCTTGGCTTCATGTGTGCAGCCTAGCAAAGTTAAACTTTGGGTTAAACTAAAGATGTGCAGAGACTTTGCTATTTCAGTACCTCGCACTCTCAAGTGAGGAGTTTTTCTTACATTCAGGGAAGTGCTAAGTTTGACAATAATGTTTCTTTGTAGTTCCCACAGATGTGCAAACACATACAAACTGGATAGCTGTAGTCCTTCCAGTACAGACTTATTACTTGGGTTGGTAAACAGGGAAGGGAACTTCTGCCCTTACAGATTTTTGTGTCACACAGCAAATGATGCCAGCCATGAAAGCCTGGGTCATACTCAGTAGCTATTTTTCATGCTCAGATTTATCTCAGGAGATACATACACTGTCTCATTAAGCCATTTCAAGAGATGAAACATAAAATAATAGTTTTGTACCGTTTCTGAGATTTGTAAACTCAGGAAAAAGAGAAACAAGTGTATAACAGCTTTTCAGTCCCTGCCCATGGCAGGGGTGTTGTAACTAGATGATCTTAAGGTCCTTTCCAACCCTAACTATTCTGTGATTCTATGATGCAGTCTTACCATGAAGGAAAGGTGGAAGGTTCACATGTGCCAGTGGCAGCTTTTAGACTTTCCAAAGCAGCTTCCCTGTGAAAATGAAGCCTGATTAAGAGTACAACAGTTTTATCACACTTCAATGACAAATGCATCACCAAACTCAAACTGCTGGACCAAGCTGAAGAAAGAGAATTTCTCCAGAAAATCACATTTTTCACTTGAAAATGATTAATACAGCTATGAAAACTCTTCTAATAATCATACAAAGTGATTCTTATTTTTAGATACGTAGTGATTTATTTTTAGATTACCTGGTTGAATAATTCCAGTAACAACAGACAAATACTCTTCAGGTTCCTGATCAGTGGAAATCTCGTTGCTGCCTCTATCTAAGGTCAGTGTCTCATAAAGTACCTCCGAATTCTCCACCCCACAAAGCAGAATCACCACATTATCTGGAGGTCTTAGAACTCGCTCCAGAAAGTAACTTCTCTTTTGATTCAGGCAGTTAAGAAGTCCACATGATAGGATAAGGAGTTTACATTTATAAGATGGTAAAGAGAATAGCTCCTGCTGCTTGAAAGACGAAGTCTCTATATTGTAGAGTAAGATTCCTTCTTCATTCACTATGTGTCCAAAAAGCGATTTTAAATACAGAGCCCACTCTTCTGCTTCTTGTTCATATATCACGAGAATATCCTCTGTATTTTCTAGAGACAAGAAAATATATATATATATATATAAATAAATTTTTAATCCATTATAAATATCAGAAGACATATTAGTTAACACCCCCCCCCAAAAAAAAAAAACAACAAACTGGAGGACAGGTCATTGCCTTGAAATGACAACCATCTGCTTATTTCTAGACAAAGGCAGCCAGATCATCCACAGAAGTGCTGGTAAAAGAGCAGACTATTTTATGATGAGAATAGTATTCAACTAGTATTCAATTAGTATTTCAGAACAAATAATGAAATTGCAGTGCAGAAAGTAGAGCACATTCACACATTCTGCTCTCTCTTTGAATCTTGACAAACAGGTGATACTATTAAGAATGCAACCGTTCACTTATAATGGCAGTAGTAAAGAATATATATTTGAACACTGGACATGATCTGACTTCATCAGAAACAAACTGGTATGTTTAGGATATTTTGGCAGCATGGTATTAGGACAGTTGTTCGTTATCTTTCTTGACTGTCCTTATTCTAACAAAATACTTAAAGACCTGACAAAAATCCAGAACGACCTTTTTGTAGTTCTGCATCTCTAAGATGCTAGTAAGAAGACTAATACTCTTCCACAGTGTTACGAGGGTGACAGTATGAAACAGAAACAATAGGCACAATCTAAAACACAAGAGGGTCCCTCTGAGCATCAGCAACACATTTTTCACTGTGAGCACTGGCACAGGCTGCCCAGGGAGACTGTGGAACTTCCCTTGCTAAAAACATTCAAAAGATGCCTGGACGTGGTCCCGGCTCTAGGTGGTCCTGCTTGAGCAGAGCAGTTGTATAAGATGGCCTCCAGATGTCCCTTCCAACCTCAACCATTTTGTGATTCTGAGAAACCACAAAAACCTGTGATTTGCTGATCAACACAATATACATTAAAATGCCACGGTAACTTCAGACCCTGAAGCAGTTCACAATCACAGCCGTATACAGCAACAGTAAGAGACTCAGGAATAGATACAGCTGTTGCACTTTACCTCCACTGAATTTCACTATGTCTCCCAGGTTCCTGATGGGTCAGGCAACCTGACTGACACTTGTCTGCAGTGCACCACAGCTTCTTCACAGGTGAGTATTTAAGCTGCTTCTTTGTGAGTAACAAGAGATATTGAAAATGCAAATATACACAGAGTTTAAATGTTTCTTGGGATACACTCCTGGAAACATAGTGCAGATGTAGCTAAGGGAATTTAAATAACACAAAACAAAAAAAAAAACACAACAAAAACCTCAACTTGTCAAGGATCCATGCAAGTCCTTGTACAAAAGGAGAAACTGAACCTAGATTCTGAGCCCAGGATTACAGCTCTAGTTATGGACTCCCCTTCTTTTTAGAAGAAATTATTTCTAAATTTTGTTCATTCATTTTTTACTCAGGAGATACTTCTAATAAAATACCCAGCTGAAGGCTGACTGGTATTTGTAGAATAGGAGTACGACAGTTTGGTCTCTTGAGTTCATTATATGCCTATAAAGTGCTTGGTGCTTGGAGGACAGCTGCCATCTTTTAAAGATTTGTGAAGACTTTTGAAGTCTTTAAAAAAGTTTTCAGTCATAGGAAATCATACAGGGACATGCTCAGTATGGTAGTGGGTGATGATATTTCAAGATAACCGATATATGACCCTGACCAATATATTAGATCAGGGTAATATTTGTGAAAATGGGTTTGGAAAGGTGACTACTATATTCTCCATGGTAAAAACATTCTCAAAAATACCTGTTTCTGCTGAAATGCTGGAATTTAATCATAAAGAAAAATAGTAGTGTATTTCTCATTTAACCCAGAGCAAATTTATGTTTTATGACACTACGATGAGAAATGTACTTGCTGAAATGTCGTTTTTGGAATCTCATTTAATTTTCCATAACTCTCACACAAAAAAATAGAAACAAAAAGCTACGGAGCTTGCTGCAGGGTTTCAAAAGAAGAAATTATATTAATGGAGCTGTAAGTTCAGAAGCTTTTTCAGTCTGACCACAACATTTCGTATCATAGGAAATGGCATCACCAAGCACCTTCTACTTTCACCCCTATTTACTAAAAGCATTGTGGATTTAAAGAGGATGCTCGATCCATGAAGAAGACTTCAGAACTCATTTTGAACATGCTTAGTTTCAACTTCCAGCCACAGAATGTAATTTTATCTATTTCTGCAAGCTGAAAAAAGTATCTGCTCTCAGAATTCTGTCCCCTAAGGTCTTCAGACTCTTGTGAAGTGACTCTTAGCCTTGCCTTCGTTACAGTTTGCAAACTGAATTACTTTGCCCACTACAAGAGAGGCTTTGTAGAACTCCTACAATTCTTTCTCCACTTTTGCAAACTTTCTCACCTTTTCAAAATACTTTTGAGAAACTCCAAATTGTATACATGGTACAAGTTCCTTGACACAGTGTATAGGAAGAATAAAGTAATGTCACTTGAGATTACCTCAGATAAGCACAGAAAATTCACATTCAGTCTCTAAGTTAAAGGTCTCATTTTAAGTTCATGTTCAGCCACATTTCCTTCTACTATGATGGATTTGGGTAATGACATGGCTAAGTAGAATTGGAGGGAGGGGTAAAAAAGCATGTTTAAATTAAATGGTAAAAATATTTTTTATAGCTTCACAGAATCTTGATGTCCTGATCATGCAGAAGATCTGGCGGTGTCTTCCATAGCACCCACTTGGCCAAGTCTAAGCTTCTTCTCCCTGTAGAAGAAGAGCTCTGGTAAAGAATGGTGCACTACTGCACCTCATCCCTGCGCAGACTGGAAGCACTCAAAAGGCATTTCCATATCCCAGAGCAAAAAAGAACTGCTGGACTCAATCATTCAGGCACAGCTGAAGAGTTCCCCGTGGGCATGGAGGATTAAGTTTTTTTGTAGAAATATGCTTAAAGAGTTGACTCCATATAATAATCATAATAAAACATATGTAAGGTATAAAGTTCATGCCTGTGCAAATGGACAGCACAAGGCTTGAGTACTCAAGAAATTCTAAAGATGAAAGTGAGAAAGTTGCACTGAAACATTAAAGGATGATGAAGTAATTCTTATTTCCACATGGTATATCTGCACCTAAGTCCAGAGCTTTGATCTTAGGTAAGTGTGAATGAGAAAGGGGTTTTAAGATGTTTGTTGAAGGTTTGACTGCATTTCTTTTTAACTATATTGATTTTTATATATGAGAAAAAGCTTTATTTGTATAAGGGAGTGAAATATATCTAACACCACACTTGATGGAAGAAAGGCTCTGCAATATGCATCTCATAAAATTTTAATTTAATATGGCTGCCATATTCAGTTTGTCTTTTCTATCTATATACAGACGGAAGAGTCACACTGTTGAGGAGAGACTCATACAAGCAAGGTATTTCGTGCAGCAGTTTGGTGCAATGTTTATCAGTTTAAAGAAAGCAGCTAGTGCTATCAGGTTACCTGTGGGAAACCTAACATGGCTTTGTTTTGAATTACATGCTTATATTTTTTTCTGTCACTGATATGCCTTCTTGATTTTTAACTTTGATATTAAGCAGGAATGCAAGACCTACATCTTACATCACCAAAACTGTATTAAATTGTGAAATACCACTATTTTGAAATGCTTGCCTGACTTTAAAGTTTACCCTAAGAATAGTTATGGAGTCCTCTATCTAAAATGTGTCTTTAGCTTTTTCCTGCTACACAATGTTTTGACTTCAGAAATTTTACTAAGATATAGATGCTTGAATGCAGCTTACTTGAATGCTAAAGCCCAGCCAAGACTCTGTCTTCAAAACAGTACCATTTTTACCTGAACAACAAAGGCTGAAGTCTAGCTTTAATGCAACACTGTCCAATATTGAATATACAGTAACAATGCTTAACTTTTCAACTAGAGTTTTCCCCCTTCATTATTTTAATCTCTCACTGATTTTTTTTTTTTTTTTTAAGTTATGGCACTTGGAGTATAATGTAGGTTGAGATGAATTTTGTTCCCTTGAAAGCTAATGTAATAGAAACTATCATATCCTGACAAAATTAAGCCATACTTCAACTACTCCTACTTAGAAACTGAATCAAAGGTAGAAATAAAAAGTATTATTAGTTTAGCAATGAGAAACAGTAAGAGAATTTATGTGGTCATCCATAACCTGAAAGGGTTATTTTGACAAGCAAGTATATTCTCTAGTTACTGGTGTGTACACGGCTGCCACCAAAAAACACATCTCATCAAACATGCCATCTGAAGCATTCTTTGAGAAGACCTGATGAATCTTACGAGAATCAAATGAGACAAAAACATCTTTGCATGCTAATATGACCAAACAGGAATCAAGAACTTGCATACACAAGAAAAAAGAACATCTTTTTATGGAAACAATTAAAAGATACAGCATGGAGGGGAAAAGAAAAAATTAAGTATATTAGAAGTGAAAGAAAGAACTCAAGAACTCTGTAATGCACTAAACACATCAGGAAGGCAAAGGAAACAAATTAAAGACTGGGAACGGGTGGGCTACACTTAAACAGGCCCTCAGTTTATGAATCTTGCAATCCTGTGTGTTTAGAATTGAGCTAGAAGTACTTGTTAACACTCATCTTCAATAACAAAACTGCTCAATTCAGAAAAGCAAGCCCTCTGCACTAAGGCAAATTTATTCCCTGCCTTTTAAAGGCTTAATGTTTGTAGATTATGTGCTTTACTTCTAGATACCTGCATTTTACTACAGCTGTTTCCAGCAAATGAGCATTAACATACTTTAACTTAAATAAGGCTGATTTCAGTTAGGCTAGGGTTTAAAAATTGGCTCTACATTCCCACTGCCTTCGGATGCTTTGACAAAAATATAGTGACACCTGAACACCAACATTTAACCCAAACTCTAACTGAAAGATGGACACTGTATATTTCTCGGGGTCATCCACAGCCTTCTCCAGTTAATATGCTGAACCCAACAATGTCATACCTGTTGTTCTTGTTCAACCAGCTACCCAGGAATTCCTG